TGACTTCTTCACCACACTGTCACTGTAAAACTGGGTGACTTCTTCACCCCACTGTCACTGAGAAAAAATATACAGGTACAATGTATACATGCATTGCATGTATCACAAACATGAACACATACACTGTCTTGACTATAAATTTTTACACATTCTTGGAGTCGGGGTTAGCATAATTGCATACCGTATATATACATGTATAGCTGTACATGTGTACAATGTACATGTATGTATGTATGTATGTATGTATGCAGCAAATTTGCAACTATTGTACCAACAGCATCCACAACTTGCTATCCCACCGCAGGCTTTCTAAGACAAAGATGGTAGAGATGACAGTGAAATTCAGCAGGTTCAGTGTCTTCCAGGTACATGACTTCTGAATGCCAACATGGCTAAGGACAGACATGCATTGGGGGTACAGATTGTTTATATGAATGTTAATCATTCGTGGATGCAACAAGCAGCTGATTCTTATCATGTCCTTCAAGGAACAAAATGTATTTTGCATCTTCGTTGCAAGAAGTTTCATTATTAAAAGCCCCCTCTAGGCTCTGTGGACAGCCGATTCACTGCACAAATATACTTGTTCACCACTAGACGTGGTACATACAGAAGCTGGACCATGCCATCAAATACAGATGCCAAAATACCGTACAAAGCAGAGGATATTAGGGACTTAGTTTTTGAGGAATTGTCTCAACTACAAGATCTGTGCTAAATGTTGTGTTCTCTTTCCCAGTCAACAGATGAAATAATTAATGGCTTTTATTTACCTGATTTAAGTAGTACGGATCAACATTCAGATATGGTGAGATTGATGTTCCTGCTCCTGAAGGAACTGGAGAAAAAAAAGAACAAATACTTGGAAATGTAAACTTATCCAAGATGTTTGAACTTGACAAATCAAAGGCATGGCAATCACTCTCAAATGTGTGCTCAAGAGTCAATTACAGACTTACATGTGCATGTCGCAATACCTAGGAGACAAATCCTTCTGTGTGGGCTTCAGCATATACATGTACATGTACGTGCACATGTGCTTTATGTACATGTACATACATGTATGTACAACATATGTATGTCCACAGGCCTTTTCACACTAGATGTACATGTAATATTGCTTCGGGGTGACCCTGGGTGATGCAAGGGTAACAAACCATGTTTCATGAAATTCTTTCCACTGCACCATGTCCCTCCCCCCAAGATTGCTCTTTCCTCTCTGCAAGTTTAATCCTGCTTAGGACCAGGACAGACGATGAGACACTTTCCCTGGGGTGTGATGAAGCAGGCAGGGGTGAGCTTACCCAGGGGCGAGCATCTAAGAGTTAAAAATTCCCTGTTCATGTAATTGCAATTCACCTGAAAATGCCATGTGCATATACACTGTGCACCTTACTTGGGACACCGACTGTAGTAAATCCAAGCTAAAAACTTGAACAAAAATGTCCACTTTTTGTTTCATTACATGATATCATTTAAACGGATACATTCCCTCACGATAACAGCCATCACCGTATCACCTGGCATCTGCCAGGTCCATAATTTTGCCATTTACTGTAAGGTCTGATATGTTTTCACAGTAAATGGCAAAATAAGGGACCTACCAGTAAGACTAGATGTAAACATGTACCATTACAGTGTTATGCATGCATTCCTCTCAAAAACATCATTCATAAGCTTTAGAGCTTTGAATCAGTTAAACTTTGGACAACTCTGTCAGCATTGTTTGCGGGAAGATTATCTAACTGGGCTGGATTATCTAACTGGGGCCGGATTCACAAACGGTTAACATTACGACCTCATAAATAGTACAGTAATAGTGCTTGAATGCATGCACATGTACAGTACACATGTGTGCGTGCCTTCTAGAATTACCGATAGACCAACCCATACATGCAGATCATGCACCCATGAATTGACATTATTCCAAATTTACTTAAAGACGAGTGAGTCAAAGAAACAGAAAACAATCCTTAGGGACTGGGTCAGTATAAATTATGCCGTATGGACTTTCAAGCTTGGCAAAAATTCCATTTCCAATCTTGTTTTGGGGGGACCCTGGTAATGGGGACTCTCCAAATATAACGTAAATGGTGTTGATTGGCTCACAAGTCACTATATACTGCAGTACACTGTAACGCTTACTGTAGCCTAGTATATCACTCAGCCACATTATAAGGCTACCGGTAGGTCAACTACCGCTTCTTTTTATTTTTCACATATTTTGGAGGTGTTCACGGTGTTGACAATGTCTTGAGAGTAATAACGCCAAACAAAATAATAGTTGTGCTTCCGGTTACCAGCCCTAACCTAGCAAATAGCGATGACAATAAATCTTTATATTGAAAAAAGTAACAATAAAAAATACTGTTACCGACCCTCTTGGTCATATTTATAAACAAACCTTTCTTATTGTTTTGGATTTTTAACTTCTTTTTTTTTGCTTGAAAAATTGATGTTTTTCTCACTTGTTAATTGGTCTTGCAGTAATCATCGGTGTGATCATGATCAAACCCATACAAATGCATGCCACATGCATGGATTTTACATGGGGCCCATTCAGAGTTTCACACAAAACCCTGTACTGTCCATGGCTGCTTCACGTCTGGGCATTTCGTCTGCTCGCTGTACATAAACTATCACTGATATTAAATGCAAAAGCAGTCTGGGGCTAAGGCTATGTATCATGCTCACTTGCATGTCACGTCAAGCATGTTGGCTTGAAGCTTGCACACTTTGCTTGCACACGTCATGGGGGCAGACAGCATGCGGCAGGCTACCGGAGGAGCATTCACCTTAAAATTTGGAATATGCACTCATATTTCAGAGAGTAAACTAATGAGGTTAAATTATTTGTCTTTCACTTCATGTCAACAAAGGCATGTTTTGCAGATAAAGACACATTTTTGCAGGTACTTCGAGATTACAGTTTCCATAGGAGTTATTCAAACCCAATCTGCTTCTCTACAGGCATTTCAAGCCACTCAACTAATGTTATTAGTTTTTGCTGCTAGTCATATTTGGATCAAATCCTTCACCTGAAAAACTTTCAAGAACCATCACAATCACTTTTTAGTAAAAACAAAAACAGATTTCAATCCTAAATTTGTTCACCCAAAACATAAGAAAAGGCACTTCTCGCCTACCCAACCCATTTTTTCAATGTAATAGGAAGCACAACTAAGCCTATTATTACATGTAGTAAGCCAATAAGACAGCTTTCCAAGTAACTGCTTCAAAAGGTCAATATTTTCTATGCTAAGTTTGACATTTTAGGACATATTATTACTTTCTGATTGCTAGTAAACCACTGCAAAAGAAAATAAGTTATGTCCATATATGGAGCTCTTACTGGCTACTAGCTAGTATTGTTTATGAGGATATTGAACACAATCCAGGGCTGACTTAAAGTGAAATCTGATCTGTTTCAAACATGTAGTAAACCTGTTCTACAGAGGGAAAGAGGAATCTATTGCAAAGATTGTAACACCTGGTTCCAAGCAAAATGTTCAGGCATATCTGTACGCGAGTACAAAACGCTGAAACTATCTGAAATCCATGGTACTGGAATGCTTGTTCAGCTCCTTGTGGTTTCTGTGATGAATCTGTTCGGAATGCTGATGCAGCTGTACAGTTTGATATTTGTGACATTGCACATAGATAATGATATGTGCACGTTGTGCTGGATTATCTAAGTGAACATACACCTACATGTACTTGCAATCTTCTGACTCCAACTGGACCAGTATGAATTGTGAACTGGCAAGGTTTTCTGAATCCTTCGTTGACAGTGAGCCAAACTATTATAAGCCACCAAATGATCAAAAGGGTCTTCAGTTAGATGAGCTCAGGAAATCTGTTACAGCTTTGAAGACAAAACTGAACTCCAACTCCATTTATGTCGTGGGAGATTTTAATGTTCTTGACATAAACTAGAATGATGGAACCATTTCCAGTGGGCAAGGACACAGCAAGATGGTACTTAAAATATCCACGGAATTTGGTCTGACCCTGTGTGTTAGAGATTCTACTATGTCACGCGGGAACACTCACAACATTCTTGATTTAGTGTTTACTAACAACTTCAACAGCATCGCTAAAATTGAAAATGTGGACGAAATTTCTGATCATGACGTTTTATCGATATCAACCTGAAAACTAACAGAAAGAGGCTGCCAGTTAAAAGGTCCAAGACAGATGACCAATGAAGAAGGGCTTCTGTGAGATGTTCACGACTATAGTTCAGAATATGCAACTCTTACAGATGGTAAAACAACCAAAACAAAATGGCCATCTATCAGTCAGAAACTGCGGGAACTCCAGGAAAGGCATGTACCCCTGTACCTCATAAATTCTCTTCAGGCAGGTACACAATGTGCCATGATTTAACAGCTCATTAAAACAGGAAAACAAAAAAGAAGGACAATTATACAAAAAAGCAAAGAAATTTGGACTGGCCCAAGACTAGAATATCTTTAAAAAAGCTCGGAAAAATATAAAAAGTAATACATGTATTCATAGAGCTAGGCAAGCATATATCAGCATCATCTGCACAACAATTTAAAATCAAAACAGATCTGGCTCAGGGAGCATTCTTGACAGTGACAGTAAATCTAAGGCTGACATATTTGACAAACATTTCCACAGAGCATTTAATCTGGATCACTCGGCTTCATTGCCAGACCTTCAAGGTATACAATGTAAAGGTATCTCAAATCTTGAATTCTCAACAACAAGTGTACAAAGCTGCTCAAAGACATGGTCCCTTCTGAAGAACCCAGCCTAGACAGTATACAAATCGTACCATTATCAAATTTTTGTTTGTTGCCATAGTAACAAAAGTAAACAAACATGTTTGTTATTCAACAACCAGGACAGCTTTCAGTCTTTGGTAGTATCAAATGGGAGCACCAAGTTTGGAGTTCTTATTATCAAGAAACAAAATTAAACATCTACAATAATAAACTCATTAATATCCGTTTTGTTTGTTTATTCTCGTATTACATACACAAAAGATTACACAAACTAAATCTTTTGTATCTCTTCCAAAAAAACCACTTTGACAATTATTTTGGGTCAATAGGGCCTCAAGGAACTACAGTACAAATTAAGATTTGTCTTTCAAAATCACGATCATACTTATTGGTGGTTGCCATGGTAACTGACATAAACATGCATGATTATTCGAGGCAATTATGATGAACTACCCCATTATCACCATTTCCAGTTCACTGAAATATTCACCATGAATGACGTGGAGCCAACTGGTAACAAGAAACAACCAATACATTCAATTTATTTCTACTTAATTTCCATTTTGTTTGTTTACATTAAATGATACTTGTACAAAATGCCGTAAACAAACAAATAAACAAATAAAAACTTTTGTATCTCTAAAAAGGAATGATGAAACAATATAAAATTTTGTTAACTGGAAGATCAAGGTAAGTTACATTGTGAAATTTCCTTATTTCTTCCTCACACTGTGGATGCTAGTTCTCTAATGGAGATTTGAACTTTGAAAAAAATTGAAGACTGTACTGGACTAATTAATTTCACCAAATTTTACAGCTCACATCATATGTTTGTGAGATAACTGACAGTACATGAATTTTAATTTTGATCTCTCAACAGAACCTTGAGAAAGATGACAAAACCAGTCCAGACAGGAGTTACATGCATGTCTAGAGCACATCTTATTATTCTAACTAAGTGCATGTAAACTTACATACCACATGCCATCACCCCTCAGCAAAAGAACTGTTTTGTTTTGCCAGTACTACCGGGTACATGTACCAATACTGCACTTGGTGAAATAATTCAGGACAATGTGAAGTCATTATTTCTTCCTGCATCTAAAGGCATCACTTCTAAGTTGCCATCTTTGTAGTCTGCAATTAACTTGGACGTGTACACAGCATCATCATTGTAGACTTTATTTAACAACTGAGGAAAACTGCCTGTGAATGGAACTCTTTGCTCGTCTGAAATAAAGAAGTGGTTTACTTTCCTACCTACCAACAAAGGAATGTTGTTAACAACTTCGTCATCAAAAGTTGTTTTTGAACAGATTTCCCTTCTTCGACTTGAGCTAGTTCTTCGCATGCAGTTATGACAAGCCTGTTCCACAGTCTGAACTGAGGATCAAGACTCCACTGAGTGCTTCTTCTCCCACTTTTTCCCCCAAGGACACTTGTTCAAACCTTTAAATCACTAACGGTCTCAGCTATAGAAACAATACAGTCCACAAAAGAAATTATTCATTTGTACAACCTTTTCCTTTGCAGCATCAGAAAAATCTCCCCAATTTTAAATTGCTTGAGGTACATGTATGTAGGCACTCTTCCCTATATGCTTTTAGCAAGTCACTGAATATTGCTTCAGGAGCTGCCCTATCACTCATGATATTTTTTATTTGAGCCAGAATCTGCATAACTAGAGCTATAAATATATGAAATGCTGTCAACTACTGATCTTATTGTATTTAGAGCATCCTCTGTACTTTTAGAAATCATTTCCCTTAGCCCGTAGTACATAAGAGGACTCGGCCCGGACACTGTATGTCATGAACACATCACCTCCTTTAGATGTCTCATCAGTGGAAATTGAGTTCTTTTCTTTCTGGAGTTTCTTCATCTGGCACTGGGGCAAAAGATATTCATCATTCATATGGGCTATCGTTCTACCTGTTCAGACTTTGCAACTTTCTTGCACAACGATTTTTTTTACACGCTCAGTTTTCTTTTGACAGTTTTTGCTTAACCCAATATTTTCTCCTAGACTCAACTGTTTATTCTGTTGTTTCTCACATCTGGCCATTACTATTACTTTGTGTGGTGAAACTTTTGTCTCAAGTTCCTATACAAGGCTTCACTTCTTGACGTTGTTCCTGTTGATCTTGCTTCAAGTGATTTTGTCAGTGCTAACATGTACTGCGTTGCCTCCTATGTTTGTAACAGCTCTATACTTTATATTACTCCAACAGACCTCGCCTCTTGATATGCATGGTTTCCCACTCTTTCCATATGGCTTTCTCAGATGGCAGACTTGTTACTTGCATGTTCATACGCTGCGCAAGCCACAACATAGCCTCATTCCAGGTCAGCTGCGAGGAAGACTTCAATTTGTGAAGCTGAACAATGTGTTTATTCAGGAGAACTTTTGTTGCAACATTCACCTCTTCTTCGGATTACAATGTAGACTTGAATTAAGTCAGACTTACATGTACTAGTACATTGCTCTTCTCCAATCAGCCATCTTTCAGCCTGTACACACAACATGGTCCTTCCACTCGGCCTGGCAGCTTGCATAGCCCTTATAAGGTACCCTCACTTCACAGCTTTTAATATACAATATGTGTCATACATTAACCAGTCAGTAAGTCCAACTTGATGGATAAGCAAATTGGACCCCCTGTCGGTGATACTTAGTTATTCATAATAGCATATGAACGACATGATCTTGCACAATGTAAACATAATGCCCACCAATCAAAGTTGTCAGACTTATAGACTTGTTTATTACAATGCAGGTATGAACAACGTATTAACAAGTCCGGCAATGTGATTGACTGCTACCACTTTTGGTGGATGAGCGGCTCATTCGCTGTGTACAAACGGTTGGCAGATTCGTCAAGTCAGGATTTCTGAACTGAACTCATAGTAATAGGTGGACACAAGAGGGCGCGAAGCAAGTAACGGTGCGCAGTCTCGATGTGTATCTAAAGCATAACTGAAGATGTCACAGAGATCCCGAATAATCCCGACTTGAATCAAGTCCAATAACAACGCTGCAAGCTGCTCAACTGTAAAGCCGCTAGGCCTGGGGTTAAGTACAATGTCTCCCAAAATAAGCAGTGGGTAAAAAGGGCAGATAGGGAGGAAAATGTGGGTGGGACGAATGCCAGGGGATGTCATCGAAGCTTTGTGTTGTGCCACAAGGACTGAAATGAAGGCAACAATGGCAACGACCAGGCCAAACAGTAGCACTAATCATGGGCTGCAGTGAAATGATGAACCATGGCAAGTGCTTGGATGCTTGGGGGTCTCAGAATTTTCGTAGAGGGCATGACAAACAAGCCAATCCTTTGGCGCCATGACCGAAGTTAGTTACCCATGATGTTCTAAATATGAAACAGAAAGAGAATTTGGGTTATAAACTTACAGCAAGATTTATAGCGCAGGTTTCCATGTTTACTTTGTTATATAAATTTCAAAAATGGAAAAAGTCCATTTTTAATTAAAACTTCTTTAAAAGCTAACACTAACTGGATTTGCATGTCAATGATCATTTTCAAAAGTTTAATCAATGTTACAATCAACACCAGAAATTAAAACTTCACCATGTCAGTTTATATAATCAATAACTCATTCTTTCTGGTTACAACCAAAATGAAAAAATGTAATCATTAATTTAATAATTCTTCGATCATAATAATCACAGAATTAAAATTTTCATGACATGCCTGAGTAATAATTATCCAAAAACTAAACTAAAATAAAAATGCAAAAGGAAAAGAAACATGCATCATATAACTCTTACAAAAAACAGCGAAATAGTGAAAACAATGCCTAATCCGAACGCAGCAAACAAGCCAATGTTTAATTAAATATCCTCTGGGACACCATGCACAGTGACCGTGCGGGCCGTGTAGCCCTACCGATGCACATGCTGATGATCCCAGGAGTGGTCCATGCGTGCTCCACTAAATTGTGCTTCCTCATGAAAAAAAGTGACGTGTTTGACAGTAGGGCCAGCATTTTCAGGGGGGGGAGGGAGGTTCAAGGTCAAATCAATGAAATAATTTACTTACCGAATTCGAGTATCAAAATCTTGGTGAAAAATCAGGCGATTTTGTTGGACTTTCAGCAATATTTAGGCATTACTGTGCCGATTCAATGACACATGAAAGTGATGTACACGTGTACAAAGCAAACTATACTTGCGGCGAGTCATGCTAAATGTACATGTATTTAGCGTCAACAAGCATCAACAAAGCGTCAACAAGTTATTCAGGCATATTTAAGCAAAGATTTTTTATATAAAATGTTGATTAGGGTCCTACATGTATATATCACATTCAATCTATTACATCTATCTGAAATATTTGAGTGTTGAAAATTGAGCGACAAAGTCGAGCCTTTTTGTGAAGTCCAATTGGATGCCATCTTGTTTTGCGTAGACAGCAGAGGAAAGAAAGATGGCCGCCCCTGAACATGTACATCACGAAAAATTTTCCTTTTTCCTGCGAAAATATAGAAGCAAATTTGGTGTTTCTCTTATACAAGTAAATACAGTGGCAAGTGTTAGAGTCTCTAAAATATAATAAAACCACTTTTTAATCTGTAGAGGGTATTTTCAAGTTGTTGACGCATTGTTGACGCTACTTGTGTGTTGACGCGACACTTGTTGACACTAAATATCATGACCACTTGCGGCAGTTAAGTTCAAGCATTTCATGGGATCGCATTTTACCAGCTTTTGCACACGCTGCAATACATGTACCTCCACAGAAGTGGGTGCACAGTAACCCGTTTCAGTTGCTACTGTACATCTAGTATTATTGAATCTGGAAAAACACATGCAACCTTTAGAGCTGAAATTGTTTCGTGCTTGTAAATAAGCTACCAAATACAGGAATCCATGTCAAGACATGTATGTATCCAAACTACTGCCCAAGTTTTGGAAGAGTCCATTGATATACGTAGTATCTTATCGCTCAGTCCTTGTATTAGATATGTCTTATATATGAAGGGTCAAGTGACGTAATGTTCAACGACCTTATTTTAAAGATGGCGACTGTGAGAGTGAGCCTGTGAGATTGAATGGGTGAAGGCAAAAAGACTGGAAAATACCAGAACAACTGAGTGAAATCATTCAATAAATGGCACTAACAAAGCGGACAGGCTAAGGATCATTTCTGTGTGCCAAAAATAATTGCGTCTACGATTATAAGAGGATGCGCTGAACTTTTTCACTACGCCGACACACAAATTGCATATATACGGATGTGTGACTAAAGATGGAGTGGGAGCGAGAGTCCCTGCCACACTAGGGGCTAGGGAACAGGGTGCTAAAAGTAATGAACCCCGTAAACAGCGCCCTACGTATAACGTTACATCTACCAATGTCTACTCCTTCGTTGATATACACATAGGCCAGTTGTAATGTGGCCCTGTACCGATTCGACTGTTTGTCTTTTGCCAAACTGGGGTTAGAAATTTGAAGTTTTCTTGATTAATATTGTCAAAATTTACCTACACTAGGCCTATCAGGATTGACTATTGGTTTCTTAAGGTCAAAATGTTAGTTAGTTTGAGAAAGTGGACTTTGTTTCCTTATTATAGGAACAGGGTGCTAATGGTAATGAACCCCCCCTGTTTACGGGTCTAGTGTAGCCCTAAATGAAAAGGAATATTTTTCCGACACATCGCCCACTGACGTGACTCGCGTTGTTAGGAAACGTTAGGCCTTGGCCTTATATTATCACCCAAAACATTCTTTAAAAAACTGAAAATTAAACATTTCGCCATGGAGATCACCAACCTGGTACATTTAGACTTGGCTCTGGTAAATAAGAACCAAATAATCCTGAGGGCTGAAAGTTCTGTTGATCCATTCTTAATCTTGTGTTAGTTTGCTAATTAGCACTGCACCACATCGTGCATGTACATGTACAGTACATGTCCTTGCGCGCATGCGGCGCTGGATGGATCTGGAGCGGTGACGTATTGCGTGCACTTAGTCGAGATGGTGCTCGGCCGCACGAACAACTACACGATGAATTTCCATGCCACACGATAGCGAATACCAGGCACAAATTACATCATACAACGCACAGTGTTTTGCCAAGAAAAAATACAGAGGGCGCACTTAAAGCGTGCAAAGCCCACATCTCGGCTAAGAAGGCATGGACAATTTCGTGCCAACAACTCCTTGCCTAGTCTCCTTGTGTTTGTTTTAAAGCTTATCATTTTTCTGCATACCACGGCAAGGAATCAACGTACGTGTTGTTCTACTGCATTCCGGTTATATAGCAATATATTTGAATTTTAAAAGCGGCATTCCCGCAAATGATGTCTCATTTAGACTAATATTACTATAGTTGACCAGACTCTGATTTGAAGACGCCCTTCCCCAACGGTTACGGTTTTACTCGCTGCTCCTTTATAATTTACGAGTGCAACATTTTGGAATCAAGACAAAAGTGAATAAATCAAATATAGCAATAAATCAACATCTTTGGTGACTCACTGTGCACCTTTATTTCAATGCATGACAAGAAAGCCGCTGTACTAATCTACACAACTACAGTAGTATAGACGCCTTTAAAAGTTTAAGACACCCTAAACTTCAAAATGCAATACTAATTATAAGAATTATGCACTTTGGCCGACACAAATAGTAGTTCGTCAAGAAATAGTTAAAATACAAGAGCACACCGTCATCTAATCCTTCGGTAACAAAATCCAAAACCTGAATAAGGAGTGGCTGTGATCTGAGGAAGTTAAGCCTTGGGAACAAATTTCCTTTGTTAACACCTGCACCTTTTGCTCTGAATAACTTTTCACTAATACCTCTTAACATCCAAGAAATGTATAGACAAATACATGTAACTCCTTATTTCACCAAACACATGGACTGAAAGAAATGGAGTTATTTATCAACTCATCAACATAAAATTAATGTAGCTTTCCCAGCATCATCTGATGCGTTTTCTTGTCAGTTTCTTTGGAAAGGTTAAAACAAACTCTGAATTACACCATTTTCCTTATACAAAAAGCTGGTTTGTCTCCTAGAAAATATGAATGTTGTCAAACAATTCTCCAATAAGATGAAATGTTCAATGCACTCATACATCAAGTGACTACTTAGCAGGATGTAATCAAGATCTACTTCGGATGACTCAGTATCCCAAAGACAAAATCAATGTCTCAGCTCCTCTGAAGAAGGAAATAAATATGTGTTTGGTCGGTCTTGAATGTTCAATCCCCATTCATTAATACCTTTTGAATCAGGAAGTCAAAAACGTTTACAAACTACAAGTTGCTAACGATTTTGTTGAACAATTTTACTTCATCTTTTAAACCATCCCTCTAGCAATGTTATGTTATATCCCTGTTGAGAGCAGTCAGAGACAATCTCCTTATACATGTATGAAGAATGGCGAATGCATGATGCCTATTGCATGAGGTGGCACACGACGGGTATTTGCCCAATTGGAATGGGTCAACTGTCTTGGGTATTTATGAACTTATTTGTTATTGTCCATGAAGAGCTGTTTTAACTCTTGCGATTGTAATATGTTTACAAAAATAAAACCTCAATGGAAGCTAAAAACTGTTTTGAGTTACTCCTCAGGTGGGAATTCACTGTACATGTATATTGGCAAACCAAAAGTAAAGAAAAGTTAAATACTAATTAAATATGCAAGTTACTGTGACCTTTTATTCTATTTAATACTATTCAAGATGTGATACTGTTGAATTACAGTGGTCACACCATATGCAGCCAACCACTGGTCAAAAACTGTTGCTATGTAGATAACAGGATTATCTCCTTAAATTTTAAATATCACCACTAATGATATTCAAGGCAAAGCATGCTTAGAAAAAACCAAATGGTATTATGACTCAGACTCGCAGTGAGTAAATGTGAGTTTTGACTACTCATCAAGTCATCTGAGCTGCAGTCAAGCCTAAGTTGGGGAGAGAAAAAAGAGTAACACTGAATATGAGCAAATGGACCTTTCAAGTCCATGTGAGTCTCAAATTGGCACGATCTCTTTTAATGCATATCGGGCGAAAACTCATTAGCAATATCTGCATGAAGTGGAACACACCCTATGGTTTTCAAGGTCCACATTCAGACAGATTTTTTATACACAATTTTGTGCTGATACTGCCATTACTATTATGGCAACTGGACTCCAGTAAATTAAGAATCCAATTAACATGCAGGTGGGTTGGGAATTATGCAATACATTCTGACAGGTTGTTTCTGTCCATATTGCTGGATGAAAACCTGTCAAATATCTGATCATCTCCAACTGCAGCTAAGTTAGTTAGTCAGAACATCAGTTGACATTCTGAAGTGTTTACATCTAGAAGAATTATCTATCAGAGAAGTTGCTAGTGCATATGATTGCTTCACTTGTGTTCACATTTGCTGACCTTTGCTTGTATAGATTCCGCATAAAAATGCTGCAACTGTTGAAACTGTACATGGCCACACTTGTAACTTGCAGAAATGGCCTTCTTGTCAAAGCCCATTTTCTAGTTTTTTGGACCTTGGAAATTAAATATAAGTCATGACTATTTAGAGTCCAGACAACCTGCTGCAAAGCAGCCTCCAATGTTTGGCTCCTAATTGTATATTTAGCAGGTGGAATTTTGTCTTCAAATGTCAAGTATTTCATAGTATATCCAGATAAAGATGCTGTTGAGAATGAAGGAACCACTGCGGAATATTCCAGTCATAAATAAGGAGAAATCTTTGATTATCAAAACGAATTTCAACTCCCTCCACCAACACACCGATTTGAGGACTTTTATAAAGTCTGGATCCCTCCCAAACAAGGATACATGTACCTGTTTATAAACTACTAACCATTTCAAGGTTAGTCTGTGACATCTTTGGAGATTTCTGCTGAAATACAAATGAAACAGAAACTACCTCTCCTTTTAAATACTTGGCATCAAGTTATGAAAAGCCAGAGCACATGTAAACTTTGCTGGTGTCAATGGAACATTTGGAATGCTACAATTGCAAAGCCATACCCATGGCTCTTGGCCTCTTCAGCCATACAATACTTTCAAATGGTGAGATGTAAACAGAGTGAATGCAACCTGGGTATCTTGAATCAGTGTTACATAACATCACCAAAATGCCTTCAAACAAGACTAGTAGAGGTATGACACCACAACACCTGTTTTATATATGGGTCATTCCATGTCAGACCAATACACTTTTTGACCTTGGGTTTCCAAATTTCGATAGAAATTGCTGTGCTTGTAGACATCAATGAATAATAAATACTTGCCAGTTTTAAGCGGAATCCGCCCTTCGATGTGGTCAGAGCAGAGGTCAACAAAAATGGACAGTTTCACTTACAAATCCACCCTTTAAGTAAAAGTGACACATAACCCTCTCATTTTTCATCAAATATATGCAAATTTGGTATCAAAACAATTAAAAGAATGCTCTTTTCACTGATGTTTTGAAGATTTGGCTGAGAATCAAGGGTCAGGATGACCTTTGATACACATCTGTGACCTTTGACCCCATTTTGAAAATAAAGTATCATTTAAAAAAAAAAATTAGACCTAATATTTTTGGAAAGTATGGTTCCTGCTCTAGAAGAATCCGCTTAAACCTTTCCTGGCATATTAAAGTTAAAGAAATTATAGCAATTTTTCTACAGTTGGTCAGCTTTGAATGTGTCAATTTTGTATAAAGGTAATTCCAGAAATTAGAGGTCTTTTTTTCGTGTCTCCGTCACATCTGACATATGGTTTTGTAAGTTCAGAACATATTTTCTAAGTCCCAAGCATGACGAATGAATGCAAATTACCTTCCAAACAAATAGTTATGGTTTGAAATCAATTCCGGGGATATTTCCAAGTCAAATAACACAGGTCAGATGTAACAGGGACACAAAAATGTCACACTTTGGAGCCCCTAGTTTCTGGAATGACCCGTATCGTCATAACATAGGAAGTTGTACCCAAGCAATTTGTGCTCTAATGCTAATGCTCATGGGTCTGACGTGGAATGACCTATATGCAAACAAAGAAGAGATCAAGGACCTTTGTTTCCCCTAATTCAATTTTAACTAATAAGAAATGCATGAACATCACAAGCAGGTAAGATGCATCACATGACTATAACACCACACTGATAACTTGAAGAGGGCTATATGAAGTTATGGCCAAACTTTTGTTTCTCCTTTTCAGGTTGGTTAGTTCACTTGCTTCGATAGGTCTGTAGTTTACACCCATCTTACATTCACCAGTTTACTTGGATTTCTTTGCCTCTTCTTTACCGGCTGTCTTGTCATTTCCATCCTCCTTTGTTTTTTCCTCCTTGTTGTCCTTGTCATCTTTGGCAGGATTATCCTCGTACCTAGACCGACAGACAAGGTTACCATATCAGTTTGGCATGCAGAAATGAAGCCTCTCCCCCACCACAACAAAAAACACACATAGAAAAATCTGCAAAACAGTCCTGAAGGGTCTATTTCAATCAGGTTAGACAAAAGAAATTTAATTAGCAACTTCTAGCAAACTGTCACTGAAACTACATGTAAAAGCTGCTTTAAGACACTTCCTTTTCAATATTAAAACAGCAAACATTCTTAAAGCCTCTAAAACTACGCTAGCTTTAACAAATCTTGACAATAACTTGCTGAAGGATTCAACCCTTCCTAACAAATTAACCAAGTTCTTACATTTCAATCCTCAAATTATGGGTCTCACAAGTCATCAAATGCTATTTCAAAATGCTTCATCTGAGAACAATACAGAAGCAGTGTTTAGAGTGAATTTTCTACTCACGTGAAGAGGTCAATAATCTCTCCTCTAATAAGTGCCACAAAAATTGGTACCCCAATGCATGCTGGTACTAAGTACAGCAGGGCAGGCTGAGCATGCTTAAAGAAATGCATGATGCCTATGGTTGTCAGGAGTCCTAAGATGTAAGCCAAGAAACTGGCGGTGAAGTAGGTACGGCTAGTCTTGGCTTTGCTAGTGGGAAAAAGAGAGAGAAAACTTATAGGAATATTAATAAAGAAGCATCTCAAGATTGGGACAGTTCCTTTTCCTGTCCGATGTTGAATATAGCATACTCTTTGTGTACAAAAACAGTATTCCCAATGTATATCACAATAGAGGTGACTGTTCCCAATCAAACATGCAGACATGGGCGAAGATTCTCATTTGGAAAAATTTCATTTTTTTAAAGCTGTTGCCAGTGAAACAGCTGCTCCCTAAAAGCTTCTCGATGCATACTGGTTTGTGCCTTGACAATTCATTCTGTATGAATATTTCAATGACTTGAGAGAGATGAGGACAGTAACACGCTGCACTATCTCAGACTCTGAGCCTTTTTGAAATGAGTGGATTCGGCTTGGACTTCAGTTTAGCTGGCTCCAGTCAGAGTTTGAACATGTGGTTTTGAACACTGCTTCGAAATGGCTAGAACCAGCGAAACCAAAGTCTAAGTCCAATCCACTCGTTTTAAAAACGCTCTATGTCAACTTAAGAGATTCTCAGACTTTGTTGAGACTACATGTAAATAAAAAAATCATTTTAAAAACTGACAGGTTATTACGTTGGCCAAAGCTCCCTTAAAAAAAATCCATACATGTAATTACCTGACATCAAAGCGCAGCAGAAGGGCAATAAATATCCCTGGAATGACGATATCTCCCAGGCCTAACATGGCAAAGTTACTGGCATCTAAACCCTTCTCCAGAATATCCTGGGGGAATACCACTGAGGAATGACAATTAGATTGCAACTAAAACATTGCCCTGGACCCAACACACTATGCTGAATTTGCCTTGAGGTACATGTAGATGTCACATTGTACATATACTATGGTTCCTTCAAAGTTTTTTAATTAGCACAAATCATTCTTTCCTTCTTAAATGACATACGATATGTAATGTTCTGGTTGAGTTTGTGTAGAACTCCAGTCTTTGGGAAAAGTCAAGTATTCTCTAAGTACTTTGTATGGAAAGTCTCCAGGTGTTAACAAATTATCCCAAAGACCAATCTGAGCATAACATAACTACACTGTGATGAAGCTATAATGCCTTGTGGAGTAGCCCAATGTTTTTCAGACATTCCCTACTTGATACTCACACTTGATAGGTGCTTCAAATGACTTGGCTACAGTCACCATAACATTAGTCCCAAACACCCAGAATATATCATAGATGAACAGTCCACCTAACAATATGCAGCCTGTCATGACTGTATTCAGCTGCAAGAATTCCACACCGTTCAGTGCAAAGGCTAAGCCAAAGATGTTGTTAGCAACCCAGTGCTGAAAGACAATCAAAAATTATTATTATTTTACTTAATTACCAGAAGTTTACACCAGGAAGCAAAGCTCTCTGTTTTACGATTATTACAGTTTGTATTAGTGAATCTGTATCAATCAGAAACTGAGAGTTTCAACCTGTTTTATAATAAAATGACAGTATTTCTCCAAGAACCTTTCAACTATTATTCTGCTAAGCCCTTTAGTGCCCTAAGTCTCTACTTAAAGGAGAGTGTTGATGTCTACTTCATTGATGTTTTTGATGTCATACCGGAGTTGAGATGCCATACATCCCAAGAAATACCTAAATAACCAGGGCCATCCTCTTATAAGCAAATGAGTGTCCTCCTTGCTATAATTTGAGACAAAAATTTCTTTGGTGTCCTTGGTAACCACACCAGTGTGGAAGACACTGGCACACCCAGAAAACAGGAAATTCACTCAGTCCCTACCTTTTTCAGCAAGTACCAGACACCAAAGCATGTAGCAACACCAAGGCACACCAAATCTTTGTTATCAAACTCATAGTTCATCAGATCTGTGGGAAAAAAGAAAACAATCATTTCTTAGACTCTTGAAATCTGAGACATGCTAGGCAAAAGATCGAAGGACTACAGAATAAAAATCATACTGACCTTCCTTCTTATCTGACTTTCCTTTTGTCAAGATGAGGTGGTAGCTTTCGTTGGGAAACACCCCTGGAAGCAACTTCCGCATAAGAGGGCTGATCAACAGATCAAACAAAATGAAGAACAACTTCAGTTGAATCATAAGAAAAAAATTCCGCAAACCCTGCAAAGCAATATTTAATTCATTGAATCAGTCACTTATTATTAATTTACACCAAGCCCGCCCTACAAAACCCAGGTAGCTAGGATAGGATATTACGAACCAGCCACTGCTAATTCACACAGAGTTTGATACCCTATAAAAAATCAACAAGATGCAAAAAGATTGTGCCACTAGATTTTTACACAGTAACAGAGTTTGGAGAAAAAAATACAAAAACAATTATGTAAACTTTAGGAAATGCAATACAATACAGCATTTAAGTTTATAAATCTTAAAAAACAATGATTAAGACCACAAAACCATGGTTCAAATGATATTAAGTCAATTTTATGTTAATTGTAAATGACAAAAATGTAAAATTTCCATTAGGTTTTGCCTTTTGTATGGAATCAACAACATCTTTACATGTACACTGTAAATGTACCTCAAGATATGAGCTAAGGCCAGCACTCCTAGAAAGAAGAAATACACTGTCAAGAGGAGATTGATGTACTCCTTGGAGAATATCTGTAAAATGAGAAGGAACAATGAACATGAAAGGAAGTTGTTGGCAAGTCACTGGCACAAAATAATGAGAAGGATCCGGGAGGGTTAGTATCATGTCAGGTGAATTCCATAAGCACTGTCCTCTTCCTTCTCTCCACCTGTAGCCTGCCGCAATAAACCATGAATACTATCGTTACACATACCTGGAAAACAACATAGATTCCAAACAGTGTTGCACTTGCGATGAGGGGGAACATGGCTGCATCCTTCTGTGACATAGTTTCTGGAACTTCTCCATTTTCCTTCAGAAAAAAGGGAGAGGTATACTAAGCATCTGTTAATCTATCGATACATGTACATGTGTATGAAAGTCAAAATCTTTTTTAAAAAAAGGCAGTGGATTCTGCATACTGGACCATGAACCTGTCCCTGACGTGTACCAGGATAGCCAGCATGCCAAATGAATGTGGAAAAGAATTCCATACATGTAAATGGGTATCACTAATTCTTCCATTTAACATCCTATCAGAAAGCAATAACGTATGTCTTAGACAGGCAAGTTTAGTAGTAGGGAAGATATTAGCATGTTCACTTGGTAAACACTTGGAAGTTTTCAGACTAGCATGACTAGTCTCATTGGGTTTGCGCTCGGGATGTCAAGCGATGTCCAGACATAGAATACTTTTAAAAATAATGCTTGACGGGTTCACAGCAAAATCACCTACACTTCGTATACATGTAATATGCTAAACAAACACTGAAAAATCATAAGGGTATGGCCTACATGTACGCGTTACTTGTAGGCTTATATGCAGAGATCACTCATTTTCCCTGCAGAGGTGTATCAGCCATAAGGAAGAAACAACATGTATGGTATAGGCCTAGTCACCAGGTCCCTAATTTTGCCACCAATCAACCTATCGTCAAGTCTGATTGGTTTTCACACCGAGTGGCAAAATAAGGGACCTGGCGGTCACGCACATTACTTAGAATTTTGCAGACAGTCTCATGAACAGATTATACTGTGCACCAGGCATGAAGACTAGGCTACAGCAGTAAAGGCCATCAACACACATGCAACACTGGTCAAAATGATGTCCGTGTACGGAACTCTTTCCGACCTTCGAAAAACGGATGGGAAACACTGATACGATGTTACACTTAACTGTGTTTTGTTTCAGAATGGTCAGCCTACAAATAGAAAGCGAACATATTGTAGAGCTTTATCATGTTGTTTTTGATAGAGCAGCTGTTCACAATTGCCATGATCGGTGATCTTACCTTCTGCTCTTTCTGATATTTTACGGAGCGAAAAGCACCGAAAAAGATGGGCAACAAGGCCATAAGAACCAAACTTCCGTACGCTATGGCCATACCCTCGGGAGTTGCAGGAATTTTAGCAGTCACATTGGACGCTGTTTCGTTCAAAGTCGCGTTCACATCGGCACCCACGTTGTTTTCACTAGCTGTGTCCGCCATGTTGTTCGTCGGGAGTTTAATTTGGCCTAACTGGTTCTCCGCAAATACGACTGCGCAGTTTAGCAGGACACCGTGTAACGTCGCGTAAGAGCACCAGTGGTTATCTGACGTGTATCACGTTGTTTCACGAAATCTATTTGTATTTTTTTGTATGCGTTTCCGCTTATATAGGTACGAAGTGAAAGTGAAATGAAAATTCGTAAGAGAGTACTGAGGATATTTTTAAAAGTTGAGAAAATTTCCCCAATCAAAGAAAGTTTAAATAAACCTTCGATAGTGTAGTGTACTCCTCCGTGTGAAGTGTAACTGTAAGTCATGCAGTGGACTAGGGCCGATGGCCGATCTTGCAGGGGGCCAAGCTGGGCCATATGGCACCCCCCGTTTTTTAATTAGAGAAGAAAAACGTCAATTTAGGGGGGGGGGGGCTGCGCGCCCCTCCCCTTCCCCAAAAGTAAGTCTACCCCTCCCCACCAAAATTTGGTATTGGATCCACCCTTCTGCTGTGCCATGATCGACTATTTTAACTTGAGAGGGAGCGGGGCGGGGGCGCACGGCATAAACGATCAGGTGCGCCCTCACATGGAGATGATCTCTTAATGTCTCGGAAATTCTGATCACTGTCCCGCTTTATCTCAGTAGGCCTAATTCGTTATCTTACTTAAAGCTGTACTTATTGGCGACACCAGACGATTTAATAGTTATTGTTGGAAAAATCATGGCACACTTCCACGCGGTGGGCCTTCAAATAAGACAAGTGCTTTTTTTAACAACGGGGACTTGCCCAAAATTCATGATGATGAAATACTCTGGACTGTTGGAACTATTTTCCTCACTTTTATTACAAACAGTACTTTATTGTTACAGTACTTTAATGAATATATGGACAAAAGGAGATCTCAAAATTGGTCCGACTTCAGAATTTGTGTTAAACTTGTGTTACTGTAAATAAGTGGAACTATTTATTACCGATTTTGGACGGGAGCACTTCTTCCACGAGGTCACCTAAACCCTGCAATCCTTTAAAAAAACTCTAAATTTCAAAGGACTGCGTAGAAATAGTCAGTGTTCCTTTTGTTAGATACTGTCACAAACGACTTTGGCGGCGCTCTGCATATTTTGTCAATCCAATTCATGTGTATCTATGCGTCTGACACCAAAGTTGCTTAGGATCGAAAGACATTGGCTGGAGCGGGACAGGATATCGCCTGAATAAATTTCTTTGACCTCTGTTTCGATTTGCTGTTTGTCTCTTACTAAAACAATTTTTGGCTACCTTCCGGATCCCTACAATGAACATCTGTCATCGAGTACTCTCGGTCTGGTTTTTGATGAGCTTATCCGCGTTTTCAGTGAGACAGCGCACATCGCTTTCATATCAAGAACCAAACTATGCATGGTTGTACATGTATTTACATTTTCGTTTTTATGAAGTTCAGACTCTACAGCGTATTTTGTTTTAGTTTATCGACTCTTGACAGCAAAGTGGGACATGGTACGCCTGGGTCCATAAAAAGAAGAGATTGTGTGACCTTAACCTTACAAAAATATTCATACAAAAAAGTTAACTTTTGCACTTTAAAGTATCAAAAATTAAAAACAGAAAAATGGCACGTAGTTGTCTATAAAGTTAACACGGTAATGTATGAAAAATTGTCGACCATTGTGCCATTGGTTTGCTGCTAACTTATAGTTGCTATTCCATCCTGAAACGAGCCGACATGTGTTGCTTTAGCAATAATGAACCGGCGACAGTGGCGGCGGAATGACTCTGTTTTCACAGTTCTTCATGGGGTGGAGACCTTGTGACTTTGGGAAGAACTTTCTCAGGGTCAAGATAGCCAAAAAAGGCTACCAATTTCTCGTTGACGTCACGATCTCGCTTAACGAAGGCGCTAAATGCCGACACACAGTTGAGAATGACGTCATCAGCCTGGGTCAAGACAAACAGGTCTTTCTGGTCAAGATCCGGACCCCAGGTTACAATTTTGATCTGAAAGAAACGATAAAAGCCAAGAACTGCAGTTTTTACAAATCTTACTCTCTGTCAGTTTATTGTCTTCTATGGCTGAAGTTTCTTCAAGTCATTGCAAATTATTGGGATCAGCTAAAGTAATGATGCATTAGGCCCATGTATATAGGCTAATATCTTTGTCTATACCTTGGTAAATATATGTACATGTACACTGTACATACAACTAGCAAGCTGTGTGGCTCCCGTTTCCCGCACACGTCATTTAAAGATATTGGCTCACTTTGAGCAAAGAAGTAAACAAAGCTAAAAGTATAAAGCACGCTATGCAAATTGCAAAACTTACATCCGGGAATGCAGTCTGCAGTTCTTCCTCCATGGCCACGTGATCAGTAGCCACGTAGATACTCTTCGGCAGTTCCCTGTTGTTCTCCTGAGCCAGTTCTAGCTGATAGCGGATATCAGTGATGACCTGCTCCTCCGATTGCAGACACATCTCCCTGGTAACCGAGTCTCCTTGTTTGCTGGTGCACTGCCGGGAGCTAAGAAGATGGGGGTAATCGCCAGTGCTAAGAAGATCGCAGGTGCGGCTCTGAAACGCGAAAACGGGGGGGGGATAAGACTAGTTTAATATCCTGATTAATTTATCTCACTCTGTCTGGTGGTGAAATGGGTGATGGTGTATTGATGACGATGCTTTTAAGATATGAGGCGAAGAATATCAAATCGAATATGGCTATGTTAAGAACCATAAGTTAAAATTCCGACAGTCAGTTACTGTATCAATTGAGTTATACATGTATTATGTTTGAATTTCAAAACTCACCCAGTCAGCTCCGTTTCTGAGATGAAGTCCCCAAAATGGTTTCGGAAGATTGTTTTCGATGAACTCATCAGCAGGTTCCCTGATCATACTCTTGAATTTCAAGTAATGTTGCAGACCTTCCACAGCTGTCGAGATAGGGCTAATAACAGGTGCAGTCACCAGCGCCAACACAGGATGCTCTGAAGCAGGAAATCTACAAAGTCAATAATGAAATGGTCAATAAATACCTTATTCGTATCAACCGTCTTTTCCCTACAAATCTGGGGTGGATTCAGGATTTTCCGAAAGGGGGCGTGAACTACAAATTTTAGGGTCGCGGCCGTAACATCAGGGTGGTTGGGTAACCGGAAGCAGAACCGTTGGTTTTTTTTTTTACGCCTTTGTCACATTGGGCTGGGTCCCTCCCTCTTTTTGCCTTCCTACTCCCTCTTTTTCTTCTCCCAAGGAACGTCAGTGAGTTTTACTATTGAAAATGTACTTTGCATCTGAGATTTGTGATGTGATATTTTTACTATCTTTGCAATGTTTTGATGTGGATATTTTAAGGCTTGTTGTTTCTGTTTTAATTCTTGAATACTGTGGTTTTTATCCAAAGATATTTTTGGTATTCTGCACAGCTGCAATTCTGCTTACGCCTCTTTCCATTGTTTAGCAATGCCAGTATGCTCCACATTGAAATACAAATTCGTCCAGACAGCTGAGTCGTCAAACTCAATCCCTTGATCCTCCCAGAAAGTGCGGAATGGATTACCATCCTGTAAAAAAGTTGAATTTAAAAATGGAGGTAACAAATTATATATCTTTACGTTTACCTGGGCAAAACCCACAATATAGAAAGGAGAACGCAGCCAAACTTTCCATAAAAGGATAAAAAAAAATAAAGCATAATGAAATTTGAAATTTAATAGGTTACAAATGAATGGAAATTCTTGATATAAATACATGTGAACATGCAACGATGTTACCGAATGCAGTAACAAAATTATACGAAATGCTGGTACTCACTCTTGTGCATTTTCCGTTATTTATGTCAGCCAATCCATTAGAACAATACGCAATGCGATTTCCTTGCTTCCAATAGAGCGGTGCCAACTCCGTCATGAAATCCTCCATGGTGATGACATCAGGGTAGAACTTCTTAATCTCGTCCAACTCGAAATATTCATCAATTTGGACGTACGCCTAGACATATATCATTGACGAAATATGTATTAATTAAATTAAAGGAGCGTTTAAAATGTAAATGAAATAATTTAGTAAATGCTTGTGAGTCTGGCTAAAAGTATAACCTGCACATTTTGTTGAAAGGTTATCCTTTGAGCACATTTACGACGCGACGATTCACGTACATGTCATGTCATTACATGTACGTGTCTAGAATTTGTCTGTATTCTTACATTTTGGGGGACCGGTTCCAGAGCACTGGGATACATGATAAACGGTGGAATGACCAGAACACGGCCAAGCTTGGAAGAAAATAGCAAAGCTCCCATTAACTGTTCCAACTGGTTGCCATAGCGACCTGAAAAACATAATCATGAAGGTTTAGATGCTGTTCGACGCACTGTGTACCTCATGACGGAAAATGGTAATCGGGTTTGACAGGTGCTTCAGTTTCATTCACGTTTGAGTAATAACATCTCTATAGTTAATCAAAATAACGCATACTTTATGACAATTCACACGTACTTCAATTCAAGACTATAATTGCGATCGAGATATTTAAAAGTGCATGTACTTAAAAGCAATACATCGTGGAACCAAGTGGAACAGTTTCTTGGGAAAAAGCCAGAGCATCTTTATGGAGACAAATCAGTCCCTTTTAACTAAATGAATATCAAAATTATATCATCTATTTTTCTAACGATGCAAATTTTTTTTTTTTTGGCTAAGGAATACAACTCAAGAAACAAAAAGTGGCTTCCTTGTTAGCTCTTTAATTAGCCACAGAGCATCTTACATTTCTGTCGATGTGAACAGGTGCTTGAACTCCAAAGTGATTGTGTTTATCCTTGCGACCACACGGATAATTGATAAAAGACGGTGCGATAAGAACGCGACCAAGAGCCTTTGAAAACTGCAGAGCACTCATCAACTGTTCCACTTGGCCCGTAAAACGACCTACAAATACAAGACGATGACGAAACAACGAGCGGAAAACAGGCATTTTAATCAAATGAAATTAAAAATTATAGGCCTAATATGCAACACTCAGTAAATCACAACCAAGTACAGTAGAGCACTCGTAAAATCATTTGATGGAAGTGCATGTAGAACCATGGACGTAGGAAAGAATTTGCCACGATTATAGTAAAAACTTATGTAAGTAAAGTACGTTATCAGTAAAAACACGATATCTATTCCGGAACATAATGAATGTATAGGTTAACGACGATTAGATTTTCAATTTTCTTTCTAAGAGTAACTGAAGCTGAGGAAGTAACATACCTGAACACGGGCAATATAGAAGATATCCCTTTGATGATTCCCATTCCAGTTTGCCAACATTCCTGCACTGTCCCATTCCAAAAATCAACACTATTATGATCAAGGAAATCGCGAAAGATGCAAGATGTGCCATCTCGACAAGAGCTTCCGAGAATGTGGCTTATAAACTGGCTTTCTACGACAAAATGGTAAATCCTTTGGGCTTGGTGGTACGGTGAAAGTTCCCAAAGCTTTGCCCTCTACGAATGTACACGTGTACAAATGATAACCGCACAGGTGTGTGTAGGAGGCTTATTTACATGAAAAAGAGCTGGGAACCTTTTGCTTTCACAGATTCAACCATTTAGAGGTCGGTGGGGTGGCTAATTTACATAAAAATAAGGCTTTGTTAGCCGGCCAAACGGAGTGTGTGACGTCACATGTTATTCTTTAGTCGGGTAAGCCTGTATGGTTTCTTTATTTCTTTTGGACACGCCCCAGTGACTAAAATAAAAGAGGGTCTTGAATGATCAGTCTTGCCACGGCCACCTGCTAAAGGAAGGAGCATTAGAAAATGTTCGCAACCATGAATGCAGTCATGGCTGAACAATTCCGTTTTCATGTTGTGTTATGGTGGTCCTAACGATGTCCATACCCTTGAACTGTTTTTAAACTCGTTCGTATAACTGATAGCTAACAGGGCCAGCATTTCTGTTTATTGGATTATAAATGTAGCAGGAAATTTAGTAGGGTCGGAGGTTGGAAAATTTTTTCAAAAGTATTGTTTGAATATTTTACAAAGCTCCCTGGAAAATGATTATGTTAGGAACGTTTTCCTTAAGATAATTCCAGCAAGCTCTAGAGAAGATTCATTTACAAAAGGCAAATAGGATTTCCTGGGAATTACTGGAGCTGCCTTGATGAAACCCTCTCATGTAAAGGAATTTGATTCTCTCAATTCAAGCGAGCCAATCCATATCGCTGACATTGAACTTCCTCAGTTTTGGCAATTATCAAAAACATGACTCAGACACCTGAAATACACCACCCTGAATTCCACATTTCTCACATAACTTTATCATCATTCTGTGAAACAATTCACTGTATTTTTCAGATATGTAGTCTAAACAATGGATCATAAGTCAACGCTCCATGTGTACACATACATAATAGTAACGTTGTTTTAGTTTTGCAAACAAGACAAAATTTGGGAGATTACAAAATTCCCACAGCTTCTCCGTGACCGATGATGGCTGCCATCACCGGTGACCTTGGTAGTGAGGAATATGGTACATTATTTCTTCCGCGTCCGACAAGGCACGGCAGGATTTATGATCACTGCCATTATCAATACTGGCATTAATGCTGAACGACTAGTATCTTTATGTTTATTGATTTTTTTCACTTTGAAACAGTGTCACCCGTGCATAAACAAACACAACAAACACACCAACTGTGTTCGGTGAAAAAGTGAGCCGCAAATTGAAGTTCAACACAGAGTGCAAAAGTACTTTGCCGTTGTTTTGAGTGCGACCTCTAGAGTTTGAAATTACAAATGAACGACAGTCTGGAACCTAAAAGTCTCTCAATGCACATATGGCTCTTCAGAATGTAGGAACACGACATATCGAAACGCGCTTTTTGCAGGCAACCGCGTGAACAGGTTGAAGTCCGCGAACGAAGGGTGCAAGCCACTGTACACATGTAGGCCTTTTTTCACATTTTCAGACAAGCCTTACACTGGACGCGCAGAATGAGAATGCAATCAAGACTTATCATGTATTCTCGGTAAGTGTAGTCATCAGCTTATGGTGCGGTTAATTCCTCCATGGGCATTATGGGTTAATCAAGCATCACTTCTTGTCGTGTCATCAAGCATTGGTCAAGCATGGGTCAAGCACGTGGCAGGTCAATTGCAGAATATAACGCCACCCCGCATGATCAACCTCATAGCTAGCTAGGTATCGAAGTGTCACTCTTCTCAAGGGATTTTCACCTTGTACCAACTAAACCAGTCATTCCAGGGGTCGTTTTTTAGAATGGCGAGGTATTCTGCAATCAGTGTGGCAGTCTCTGATATTTAACTCATACTACTAGGCCCAGTATAGTACTGAGTACAGTGGTATCGTACAATGTATTTGTAGGAGGCCAAAATGATGTCAATGTTGTCGATGCCACGTACTACGATGGCTAGTATTAAGACATAATAAATGACTGCAGGCATGCAGGGGAGATATATGGATGTCAGTTGAAAAGTTTGCCTTAGCAGAATGAATTAATACCCTGGACGTTAGTTGCAGTGATGTAATGAAGACATTATCTAAACTTGGATCGCATAGCTAGGCTGTACTAACTACGTTGCCAGTTTGTATATACATGGAGGCCTAGCTGCTCCAATATTGCCCCTTTTTAGTCTCAGTTATTGAGTCCAGAAAACATCCCAACTTTAGTACTATGGAGTAACGGTTGGGCCACTATCATCATAGTCACTGCAGATATGATTTCTACAGGTAAGCTCACAATATTCCAAATCCCAAGGCCATTACTCACTGTTTTACTCTCCTGAAATACAAAATTAGATGAATGGCATGTGTGTACATCAGTTCAGACAGCACTTCATTGTAATGATATATCGGCCTCCCACTCATGCATGTCTTCCATCTACTTCTTGTTTTATACAGAGTGTAAATTGTAGGTATACATGTACATGTTCGTTGTAGACATGTAAGGGGTTTACCATGGATCCCCAACTGCAGAATCCCAGCATATGTACTTCACCATCAGAGGAGAAAGTTCAACTTCAAGGAACTGTTAAGCAAGAACATGAGACTGACTATGCACCTCTTTCATGTATGCTTGGTATGGAGGAGTCGTCAGTAAGTACCAAATCCAGAGAAACTCTGTCATCTCACGATGAATGCAAAATCAGCAAACTTCAAGAGGAATGTGCACCTTGTATTCCATACGTTCTATCATCTCCATCAAACACTGCACCAGTTACTACTCCTGCACAAGTTAATGGTTGCATTGTGAATGTAAAACTGGAAAGTGACAACTGTCCTGCCGCTGTTGGTTCAGGGGATACTAGTACAGTGTCCACTCCAATGATTCCATGTTTGGAAGATGTCTCTCAAGCATGTCAAGAGATCACCGGTGATACTCTCAATAGTGTATCTATGATAATGGAGAACTTACCACAGGACGGTGAAGAATTAAGACTCGATTCAGAAGATACTGAAGATTCATCGGCGTCATCTTCATCGTCAGATAGTGTGAGTGAAACAGAAGAAGATAGCAGTTCTTCCTCTGATTCAAGCTCTGAGGACTCATCAAGTTCAGATGATGAAGGATATGTTCGCACCAAAAGGGCAAGGTACATGTGTACTGTTTAATGTACAAAATGAATTCTGAAAAATTTGTTATGTCAAGCAAAGGGATTTTTTCCAAACTGATCCTCCAAAATCCACTTTCAGTTTGAAATACATATATTATATTGGATTCAGATTGTATCCTCCATTGGGTCATTTCTGTCTTTGTTATTTCTCTGTATTACTTTTGGAAATTTCCCAATCTAATTTTCATGTACCTGTAAGTAATAAGCTTCTCTGTTTTCTTTTTTTTTATAGTGATAGCGAGGAAGAACATTTGGAATGTCTTTTGCCACCTCCCACAACTGCTAAAGAGGTGCTTATCAAGGTAAACATGTGTACATGTCTTTTCTGATAGAGTGCAGTTCTCATGAGCTACATACAGTTGACTCTTGTTATAAAAAATACTGTTACAAAAAAAATACTGTTATAAAGAACATATTTCAAGAATCCCAATTTCTTGAATTCTTATGTTTTTCTTTGGTTTTCCTCTCCTTTTATAACAAAGTTCAGGTTATGACAAAGTATTTTGTTTGGTCTCAGCTACTTTGTTATAATGAGAGTCGACTGATATTGTGGAAATGTCCTCCAGATAATACCTGACCCTGCCTTTGAAATCGTCTCTAATTTGGAGTTGATTTTGCAATTTAGGGGTTTTTTGTGGTGTTTCAGGATTTGCCACCAGTGCAGCCCGTTGATATTGTTCTTAAAGCATCTGAAGAGTTAAAACCTGCCGGTGTTGTGTCAAGTATCATCGGTCAACTTGGTAAGAATCATGAAGAGTCTATGTGTCTTTTTGAGTAGATAAAGATTAGAGTTTACATGGAATTATTAGCAGTCAGCATACAGCTTTTGCTTGAGATTGAGTGAGATCTGTTACGTTTATGTCTCTAGTGGCATTATTGCAATGCTGTTTTTTCACAGTTGTGATTCAGTCAAACCTTGGTGTTGAAGTCCTGGATTCTGACACAGTTTTGTTCCTTGAAGACAGAAAGGCAATTGGAATGGTAAGACACTAACTCATCTGATGAAAAATTCAACAAATGCAATATTCATTACTCATGAAATTCATGAATATTCATCACATAACATATAAACTGTACCACAGAAGAAATCACATGTAATCACAGGATGAGGGTGTGATCAGAAGTACTTTCTAGAGATTTGCACATTGGATGCTTTGTTTTATTTCCTACACAGATATTTGAAGTATTTGGTCCAGTCAGTTGCCCTCTCTATACCCTCCGATTCAACAGTGTGAGTGACATTAAGGATCTCAAGATTGAGTTACAGACGCAGGTGTTCTTTGCTCCCAAAATCCAAAACATGACAACATACGTCTTCACTCAGCGGCTCAAACAGTATGTATTTTTTTCTTTATAAGTCTATATAGAAGCAAATTTGCTTCCTAAAGGTTAGCGCCTTGTTGTAATTCTCATTCTTTTATTGGCATGATTGTCAGGTTGAAAGGATCTGATGCATCCTGGGAAAATGATGAGGAGCCTCCCCCTGAGTGCGTTGAATTCAGTGACGATGAAGAGGAACGTGCAGCAAAGAACAAGAAAAAGAATGAGAAACGCAAGAGAAAAACTCCAAATAAAAGGTATGTTAGAATATCTTACTTTAATTCTGAAGTACGTTTCCAATACGTAAGTGTGTGATTTTGCTTGAATTTAATTTTTAAGTGGTCATGTGCACTGTAAGCCAATTAGTATGGAAATTATGACAATAACTAAGTAGTGAGTATATTTGCTCTGAATGCTCTGTTGTGAGCCAACACACAGCATCCTCTACTGTTCTCACACAGTCCATTATGACATTACAGTACATTGTCCCGTGTCTGCTTTGATTATTAAACAATTTACGCTTTTCTTCTGACTAGGTGAAACAAACATATTGCCAGTTGATAATCAATTTGTTAAAATGTCTTCCAGTTTAAAATATTTTCATTCCCTACCAACAGTCGAGATACCTCACATGATGTTACCATGACAACTGACAAGATCCAGACTACAGGGCATCTTTTCCCATCGGGTGATCATCACGGTTACCATGGTAAGCCCTTATTCTGACTGATTCTGCTTCTTTCTGGCATTTGGTAATCTCAGAATCAGTGTGATCAATGTAGCATTTTTCATTGTGATGCATTTGCAAGATTTTTCCAGGGCAGTATGAAATAATGAGGCAATTTAAGACCAAACGGCAATAGATCCCTTGTAACTGGTACCTCGCGAGTGTTCTTTGACATCGAAAGGAACTATTGAAAAACATGAAGTGCAATCCCTCCATTAGGCAAGTAATCCCGAACAGTCGTTCATTATTCGATTTGCTGTTCCTGGTCATCTTTGGTATTGAATAAAGCCATGGGTAAAGGTTTTATTTATTCGTTTAGAATCAACTAGTCATCGCAGATCAAGAGGAGGGCCAACCTATGGCATGAGACCAAGATTACAACATTCAAGAGGGAGGGGCGTGCCACACCCACCCTTTAGACATCCTCATCATCCAAGACCAAGGATGGATTTCTTCAGTTCACCTTGGCATACTCCAACCTTCCAGCAACAGTGGTCATCCTTTCATTCAGATCACGTTTCTGGAGTTCCAGGTATGAGTAATCCACATGGTCCTTCTCATTACAGCAATGATTGGAGTACTGTCCCATCTCCCCTCCCCCCACTTCCAAATCCTAACTTCTACAATGCCCCTCCTCCACCCCCGCCCCTGCCCCCATCAAGCTACCCTTATATGAATAATTTCCCACCTCCACCACCCCCACCTGGCAACATACCTCACCCATTCCCTTCATCATTCAGAGTGCCAGATGATAGCAAAAATAATTCCACTTCCTAGCTTTGAGGTGAAATTGGTAACTTGAACTTCAAACCCAGCTGTCACTGCAGCAAAATTGTGGCTATCCATGAGAGTCTGTATCGGGTACAATGACAAGCATTAGGTAGAAGCTTCTCCTGTTAGTCTCTAAAGTACTACCTCCTGGTTGCCATTGTCACTGTTACAATGTGTTTTGACCAAGAAATCGTGTAATCAGAACGTAAAGCATGAGAATTTGTATGTCGTTACTGTGTTACTGAACTGGTTTTCGTACATGAGAAGGCTAGTGTGCACGCAACAATGTGGAACACATTCAGTCAGAACTTGGTTAAGTTCTATGTGAGTCATTCATGCATGGCACTTGGGTTTCCTCCTACATGTACCCTCAGTGTAATTGTACTTGCTGTGCATAGGTTCCATGAGTAGCGCAGCGCCCTCAGCTGTTGTCACCCAGCCAATAGAATGCACATTATTAACACAAACATACCTCGATCCTTTCACCATCAGGATATTCTGTAGGTTTTATATGATTGAGAAAGGTAGACGGGTATCTATTCAGATTGCCAGAGCAGTCTGGAAATAGCAGACTATACTAGAGATATTTTCAAGAGATTGCATTGATAGCCAATAACTTTTAAAGACGTGTGAGGAGGCGTGACCATGCTGCAAAGGTAAATATGGTGGTAAATATTCAGAATCTGTAAATCATTAACCCTAACACTCTTCAGTCCTCCAACAGGTGAAGGATTGAGGAGTGTTAGGGTTAACCTTTGCAAGGTTACCTGTTATCTTCCCTCTGGCTTACATTTTACTAAGCCAATCAGGGATGATCAGGCAATGGGATTCTCTTTCATTAGGCCAGAGATCTGAGTGATTGGGAGTTCTTGTTATAGAGGACTCACTTGAAGAGTGGAAGGAGAGGTGTCAGCAAAAATCTGAAATGAATAGTGCATGAACATGTTGCGTGTTGCATTGGTGGTGGTTACATGTCCATATACAGTGTCATGTGTCATCAAAGGTGATAATGCTGACACAAGGCAAGGATAATTAATGACACCTGTAGGAATCCTTGATACATGCCCCTGTGGATTTATAACAGGTGATCCAAGTACAGTATATGTTAAGGTCTTGAGTCATGTCTTTAAACCTCATTTTGCTGTCGGCCAACACCAATGACTTAGACTCTGAACTGTGTTTAAACACTTTCTTTCCTTTTGAAAGATGACAAATAGATTTTGTACCATGAACCACTTGTTACAGTTCAGCAAGTACCAATTAGCATATGACTGGAATGAAAGTTTATACAGTCCATCAGGAACAATGAACTGCAGGGAGTTGGTCCGCCTGCTGGTAAATGTTTTTGTTTATGACCCAAGAAAACCTTTGCATTTCCTTTTCCCCATTGCCATCAATCCAATTACAAATCGTCCATCACTGTACACAACATAGCCTTATTTTGCCACATGTTGAAATTCGTGCCACATATTGCTACCTTCAACCTGATTAAATATAACCAATTTAAGTGACAGTACTCCCTTAGATGGAGTTAGCCTGTGCTAGGTTATCGCAGCCAGGGACAGCAAGCCACTGACTTGTGACAAGGTTGCTACTTGGGGAAATCATACAGCTATCAATTAATCACATAATCTCCCGTCTTATCGTGTCTTCATCTCAACCAATATATACCCCACCGGTACCATCCCCAGTGTTGTTATTAGAGCAGACAAGACCTGTGGGTCCCAAGGCAAGGCTATATCATAGCTTAATCCTAAGAACAGGGGATTAAGCTTGAAGGTTATATCACAGTTTGCACATCACTAGTGACCTGGGAAAAAAAGATTGATCAGTAATCTTCCCCGAGGACACAGCAATTATTTTCATGTAGAGTTGCTAGGAATATAATTATACAGGTACTCTTAAAAATGAAAACTTTATTACAACACTTTCCAATTCAGTTTCTCAGACAAATTAACAAAACCTTTTTTCTATGCCGTACTTTGAGTAAATGTTGTCACTATTTTGCTGTTTCAGTTTTAATGTGTGCCAATTAAAAAAATCAAGTTTGTAAACATGATTTCCAACAATTCAAATAATAACACTGTGTTTGTTTTATGTTCTCTCCTTTCAGTTGTTTACTTTTGTTTTAAAAAGGGACAAAATTCAAGAAAGCTTTTTATTTGTAAAATTGATTTATAGACCCCCTACTTCTTTCAGTACCATTTCTTTCGGTAGGACCTATCCCCGTTGGGAAGTGTTAAGGTGGGCTGAATTACACACTTTCAACTTACCATGATGCGTTCCATTTTTAGCATGGACATTTTTCAACAAAGACGGCAAACCAATCGCTGTTATTGACATTTTGCCGCCTTGGGTAGAAGCACCCCCCATCGATTAAAAATAGTCGCATTGGTCGGAAGTGTTGAATTTGTTGGTCGCGATTCGACCGTGACACGTGCATTTCCCAGGATTCGTGAACAAGCGAAATTCATTTCCGACCAAAGGAGCCACCGTTGCTAACAAAATAGCATCTATCTATGCAAGTTTTTTTTCTCACAATCAAAAGTGTTTAACAGGTCAGAAGAGTTTATAGTGGCAGAGTGTATTTTTTAAGACGTGATGCCGATTAAAAAAATTGCCCCCCCCATAAAAAAGAGTGAACAGGGGACCTGTTTGTTTCACACGGATCAGGATTTCGATCAGTGATCCTATGGTTCGCACCATCCATTCGGCGAGCTTTGGTAGCCATAAACCAACGACCGATCACTGATCGTGATCCAGATCCGAGTGAAACAAACATGGCCAAATTTTCCCTTCACAATGCGGTTGGGCTTCTAAGCTTAATATGTTCAATGAGGGCGCTCCTTCAGTACTACTACCACCAGGGAAAAGCACTGCAAGTATCAATACACCGACTACCCAACACTGATATACTGTACACGTGTACTCATTGCACATACATAGCACATACCTACACAAAAACAAGCGCCTGACGGGTTTTTGTTTCTGCCCGTAGCAGCTTTAAGCGAGTTTGGTTGCGGTTGATGGAGGTGAATGTTCTCAAGAGTACTCCAGAATGCATCTTTTGTTAAACTCCAGCTGACGCGAGGTTGCGAAGATGTCTTTCGGCTCCTAGAAGATGACTTCGCATTTTATGCGGAAATGATAGCTTGCATTGTCCCACTGTCTGATGACCAAAATAGAATGCTGACATTTACGGAGCTAAGCTTCATAGTCCCTAACAAATTGAAGTCATTGAGCAAAAATAACTGCTCATTATAGTGGGCAGCATATTAAAAAAAATTATGATGTACACCGCATTTCCTTTGCTGTTGTATAGAAAAATAATTTCACTTTAGCTTGGTTATAAAAACACCTGTCACCACGTTCCAACAATGTTAGTGTTGAAGCAATGTAAATTGTGAGCTTTAATATTTCTGTCTGAATGAAATCAACATTTACACATTCAGAACATGAATTCTCTACTGAAGCAGACTGCGCAGATGTTGAATCCTCTGGCTTGTGTGAAACTGATGATGTTTTCAATTTTTGTAGTGCATACTTTTAACCTTTTTTGTAAGTAACCCTTCATGGCGATTGGCGAACTTGTTACTGTGATGAAATTTACTCTATTCGTCGTTTTCAGCGCAGGTTATCAATGCAAGACCTTGTTCAACAAAATATTTGGGCATAAATTTGGCTGAAGCTGTCGAAAATAAAGTATAAATCTTCCACTGATTAACCAATAAATATGACAAAATGCAAAAATTGAAAGTAATGACAATTGGAACACAGGGATGCGTTCCTATATCCCATTAAGGTTTTCGCTATCTTACATCCCACGAAGGCAAAGTCTACAACCTAATTCAAATAGTGCCTCGGTAATTTTCCTTATATTGGATAAGATACTAACGTAAAAAAAGTGGATCAATATTGTAATTAAAATATCTAGTGTTTGAGTTGCTCTCCCGGACATGACATTTTGTTCGCCAGAAACGTGACTCCTCAAGATTGCTCTGGCTGTTCCGAGCGTAAGAGGTCCCACTTGCGTTTTTTGTGTTGGCCTGTCATATCAATATATAGTACTAAAAGCAACTTGGTATCATTGTAGGAATACTTGACCAAAAGGGTCGCTTTCAGCTGAAAAGCTTGACCGTGTTGACGTTGAAACAGAATGCCATCAAGACTCCATTATTCTCTTAACATGTAGTCTCTCGAGTGAGCAGAAAGGAATAATATCGACCAAAAACAAGAATCTTCAACAACTTACGAAACATAAATTAGATTTACCAGCTCAGCAGAGAGGACATAAATTGATTACTGATTTTGGTAAAGCGTACAATTTAAAGGTAAAAATAACCTAGCGATCTAAACAACCTATCGCCAAGCATGAATCATGCCACAATGCACCCATAGAAAAGTAGATATGAGTCCCGTAAATTTAGGCTAGAAATCTGTCATCACTTCGGTGTTAGATTTCTGTCATCGTTCCGTGTTATTTCTCTGCAAGCTTTCTGTGTCTTGGTTTATTGTTGTGGGTGTTTTTACCTGTCTGTCTCCATTTTGTGCCAGCATGTTTTTTCTCTCGTTTTAATAGTTTTCCTGTCTTGCATACCCTTTTCCGTCTTCTCTTGATTATTTCTCCAGTAGCTCGGCAAAGCTTACCTATTGATACCTTCCTATTAGTAATTCCTCCTGTCTGCCCCCTCTCGTGTTTTATTTGGTTTTTCTCGTTTTTCCATGCCTGCATTGTTCTATTTTTTTTTACTGGTATACTTCCCTGGGTAGCAATATTTTCTGCGATAAAGGTTTTCGAAATTTAACACTGTGCCATGTGTATTTCACAGAAAGATGCTTCATCTATAAATTCTGATTTCATGTTTGAGAAATTGATGTATAAAAAGGGTATTTTTTTGTGCTTAACAATCCAAACCAGTAGCGTGGGGCAGGGGCAGGTATAAGATTCCCGTATGGTGCGGTAGTCATCATTCCATGCAACATTTATGAAGTTTATGTTTGTGTCTTGGCTCCTTTTGACGTACTAGGTTAATGTCCCCCCCCCCAAAAAAAGGTTTTTACTTAGCTGTTAACTAAATTCGTTGTGCAGTTTGTTTGTGAATGTGTTTGTCGATCGGTTACGTGACAGCAATGTTATCAGGATCGACTAGCGCGTGTAATACGTGTGACGAGTGGGTACCAGAGCACTAGTGGGCAGCGGCGTATTCAGCTTTTGGAGTCGGGGGAGGGGCTGAATTCAAAAGCGATAGGGACTTTGGGCTCATTAAACATGATGTTTGGGAGGAAAATATATAAAAGCCTTACTTGCTGTCCCCAAATCCTGGCTTTTATTTATTTGTGTTGTTTTCTTAGGTGGTTGGTGCTGATATTTGATAAATAAATTTTCCAGTTACTTTCTTACCTGTGTAATATTCTTTGTTAAAAAAAAATCCGTGGGGCCCCCCTTGATGAGCCACTGCGAGAAGAGCATGTAGCCGAACACTGTTGGGAGTGTCTATCTCTTAAAAAAAAAGCTTGAGAGATTGTAAATATTGTTTGCTTCAATATGTACTTTTTATATAAAATTCCAAGTTTACATTTGTACAATCTTGGTAATATAAATCTTGGACTTTTTTCGGCAGTTGAACTAGTTTATGGTTTTTAATGTAAGGATAAGGATGGCCATTTAATTTCTGGCTATGCTTTGCCTTTTCCCAGCCTGTGAATTAATTCACGATTGTTGGAAATTCTGATGACTATCTAGGATTTTACCCCAGGGTTATCACGTATCTACCCTTATGAGGTCAGATGAAAGCCTTTTTCCTTCTCGGTCATTTCTTTTTGCATTCCCTTTCACACGTCAAGCCCCACTGTCATGCTGGACACCTATTATTCTTATTCACCAACACTTCATGAAAAAACCCTAGCCGCTAGGAATTTTGTTGGCTGCGTTATGATGAAGAGGTACGTGCCATTGCAATGAATACAGCCAGAAAAAAACGGGTGTGATTGTAGTGTGAGTCTAGCAGCCACAATAAGGATGACGTCTTTTCCATACAACGAGAAATATTAATTTCCGCTGCCTACCCCATTTTTCTATTTTTCTTTAATAACCATGCAGCCTATGTACTTTTTAATATGTGGGACGGTTTGCCATGAAAGCCGAAGGTTCGTCCGTTTTCCCTCTTCCAAACAGCTGTGAAACGAGGTGATGTACTGATCATCAGCCTGACCTGAACCTTGCATTTGTCATCTGAGACGCGTGTGGTGTTGAGTGTTCGTCTCGGGAAACCTCGGACGGCCCATAATGTAAACACTTGTAATGTCCCTTAAGCAAAAGATGCCCAACCACATAAGTAGGCCTACTCTTTAACACTGCGTTGTTTTTCGTCGAACTGGTGGGATTTCACACCCACTTCCTTAATATGTAAACTCGTTCAATCTGGAGGTGGTAACGCCTTGTTTTTGCCACCTCGTGGCACCACAAAATGTAACGGCTTGAGTTTTTTTTAATGTGATGTCGATATTGTGGATATAATCACGTGCCACAGGCTGATATTGACGCTTTCATCAAACTTCCATATAAACAAGCTTGTTTTGTTCTGTGAAAGTATGTAACTTGGTGTTGCAACAATTTGTTGTATCATGCAGTATGATTTAAAATCGTGTGTTAGATGAAATGTTGAGTGCTCGTCTTTGCATGATACGAAACAAACCAAAGATAGTGTCAAACTGTATGAAAAGTGATGTTTAACTTTTGTAGGCTTCTCTGGTGAAATCGTGCTCTATTCAACAGTCGACAGGGTACACTGCCCATAAGTTCCCCCATGTACGGCCTTTTGTATTGAAAGCATTTATTTCCTAATTATTTGCCGTTTTCACATATCCTTTTTTCAGAGAAAAAGTAACTAAGCAAGCTGATGTTAATCTAGTAGGTGCGTCAATTGGATGTACCCGTTGAAATGTTGATTCCTGACAAACTGTCCATTTTGCAGTCTCGTCACCTGGTTCCTAACTAACGCACCCCTCTTCCCCATGCTAACAATTTAAAACAGAAAGGGCCAGAACGCTGTCTGTCCAAGTCTGATCGATCTGAATTGTTTTAGCCCAAGGTTGGTGGATTTTGAAGCGAAATCATCGGATAGTGCTGTTTAACCGCTTGGCCTGCACGTGCGTCATCGGAACTGTCCGCTGTAGGGGCGATAATGAAGCGTAGGTTGGATTTTATTTAAAATTCTGAATATTACTTGAGTCTTCCCTGCAGACGCCGTAACCTAACCCTTACATTCCCATCTGCACACGATATTTTTGACGTTTGCTTGTCAATTTGAAATTTTACAATGATATGCTGGGATTATAAAGGAAATCCTAGAGGATTGAAAGTGAAACGTTATTCACTGTTTCAGATGTGGCGATCTGTCCCGTTGTGCAATTCGTAAAGGTAAAAGCTACCAACCCTGCCACTAAAAGGTGGCCTTTATGTTTACCGGCAACTGTGCCAGTTAAGTTTCTCTGTATGTACGACACTGTTTCGTAATCATGATAAAAAATGAATTTCCCATTTTCACATGAACTTTACAGGTATTCATCTTAACAGACATCACATTACTAAGCTGTCCACTGATAGAAGTTCAGAAGCTTAACATTATACAAAGTGACATGAAGCGTACGTGTATGCGGCCTGGCTTAATAAGTACGAGCCAATTAATGACAAGTCAAAGGGGATTTACATCTCCTAACAGTGTTGTAAGAATCTGGGATTTTTATTAATTTATTTATTCTGGTTTTGTCAATTCAAATATACAGGCTAGGCAGCCACATCAGGGTCGCTGATAAAACCAAATTTACAATAATCTAAAGGCATTGCATATCAGTGAAAGGGAATATAAAATGATAAGAGTATGGAAAATGGTTCATAATTTTTAAAAAGTAAAAATAAAATTGTGAAAAAATTAAGTGATAAATCTATGTTTACCAAACAGAGAAAAAAATTGTGAAGACAGTTCATTCAGGACAGTTGGTGAAATGACAGATTCTCACTCCCACATACGAGTAAAAATATTACGAATTACAAAAGTTTAGCTAAAACTGGAATTGTAGATTTCATGTATCTATCAGTTTTACACTTTGGTACAACAAGTGTAGTCGTAAATAAGACTTGAGGCTATGCATGGCGAAAGTACTAACTATGTGAAGTTTGCGGTGACACCATGTAGTAAGTGTAGTCGTAGAACTGTCTCTGAGTATTCTGAGTCTCTGGTAGTTGCGTTGTTCAATTTAAGGGGTGGAAGAATATTTCTGAATCTGGGGGATTCAAAAAGTTTCGTACCAAAGTTTTACAGTAAGGTATCCCTTCTAGTTTCAAGACTAGAAATATCTAATACATCCAGGGCAATGGAGTAGCTGTGATACTGACGAGGGCCTAATATAATACGACATGGACGTTTTTGTACATTTTCAATTGTATTAACCAGTTGTTTACTTATTGAGGTATGCCAGACTGGGCTTACTCTAAAACTTGTCTAATGTAGCATGTAAAGACCGAGATTGAGTCAGCCGAGTAAGCATCATATTTCTTTAAAATACACAAGGTAAATAATCTTCGAGGGGCTCCAGAGATAATATTAGCAACATGCATGTCCCAATTAAATTCACTCTGAATTGTGACTCCCAAAAGTTTCATGTGATTAACCTTGGTTAGCGATATATTATTAAGGGTAAACATTGGGTTGGGCATAACGCGTCGAAGAAAACTGATCATCATTACTTGGCATTTAACAGGTTTGGGGAGAAAACCTTGGACCATTCTGAAAGATCATCAAGATGGGATTGAAGTTGAGCATTTTCACCATTTTGATTAAATCCCCGAGGGTCTTCCAATAGCAGCATCGTTAACTAGGACCAGAAATATTATAGAACCTAACTTAGTTCTCTGCGGAACGCCGCAACCAATAGTTTTGACAGAAGAAGTGTAATTAGCAAGTTTGGTATTTTTTGTTGCGATTAGAAAGGAAGCTACAGACAGTTGGAATAATTGAGCGTCTAACCCCAAGGTTAATAAGTTTCTTGATAATAATATTATGGTTGACGGGATCAAAGGCTTTGGTGATGGCAATCGCAGCTAGATACGCATAATGATTGGGTTTGCCAAGTCCCTCATATACAGAGTTTAACATATCTACTAGATAATGAGTGGTAGAGCTGCCCTTAATGTTACCCTATTGCTTTGGATCAAGTTTGACAGAAATATCGTAAAAAATGTATTTGGCAATAAATGATTCAAAAATTCGAGCTAATACCGGTGTCAAAGAGATAGGTCCTTTAAAGAATCTTGTAAAGGGCTGCTCTGTGCAATAGGTGACTTTCCCAGATCCTTTTTAATGGCGTACTTAGAAGGTTGCGTGACTCGTGATTCTAGAGTACTTGTCTGGGTCTATGCCTATCCAGAAAACGCCCGTCTCTTCAACCCTTGTCCACAGTTCCGCTGTGTGGTCTGCGTGCATGGTCCCAACATACATTTTCATTGCCTTTTTTGTATCCATCAGACGTTGAAACACACCTCCTTTTTAACTATAATGCATTCAGTTTTATTTCAGTTAAGAGCATCATGCTATCTCCTTTTAGTCAAGGTGGCCAGCCTGGCAGAGTGCTTTGGCAAATACCTAATCCGTCACTCAAAGCGTCATTGCCTGCAAACAGTGACGTCATCATATTTCTAAGAGACTCAAGCATAGTGCATTTGGAGGGGTTTGGTTTGATCCTGCGTGTATGATTTGGTGTGATTAGGTTACGCCGCCGCGGGTGTGAGCTTATGTTGATGAAGGTATTACCAATCATGATATCAAAGGCTGGAGATTACATCTTGTAATGGTTTTTTTTCACGGAAGAGTTGATAGACCTTCACTTTAAGCTCACTTAATACCGAGGAAACAGTTTGGCGCCTGAAATCATTTTTGGGGCATCTTGTGTTTATGTTTACATTTAGGTGTTTTATACATGTAGATAGGCCTATCGTGAGTACAGTATGACATTGACAAAACACTCCTTCTGGCACAGTGCCTGAATCATGAATTTCAACAGTTACATGAACTTAATAAATATACTATGCTTGGTAAGGTTTCTTTGTTGATATTTTCAATTTGAGCTCAGAGTACTTTGTAATATTCTTCCAGAGACTAATTTTATAAAATCAAACATGTTCTTTTCATGTTATCTTGACTGGGAGTTATTTGTCGTGTTTGTTCGATACGAGCGACAAGGGTGTGACTGTAAATCACAAGATAGTGCCGAGATGGAACTGTCATGCCCATTGCAAAGCTGTTGATCGAGTTGCAAGATACACACGGCTGAAATCTAAACACCGAATAGTCATCGGAAGACTAATGCTCCAACAACCACAGAGTTCACCGAAGTGGAAGTACGTTTCAAAACAATTACTAACCATTACTAAAACCATATCGAGTATCCAGTTTTCCAAATTCACTCCGTCACGAAATTTTGTTTGCCTCGTGAAAGAGTCGTGACAGCTGGATTTCAAACCAACACCTTTAAGTAGAAGCAACTAAATAAGGTCACGCGTCTGGCTTTCCAACACTCTTCAGCTCTCTAGGGATTTAATGTCAGCATCAGTTGCTAAAACACAGTGCATTTACGGATTGTTTTTTGTCTTCTTGATCTGCAATGCATTTATCGATGGTCTTGGGAAGGAAGATTGACTGTGTATATAAGTATTTTCTTTATGTAGGCGGTCTTTTCCTTTATGTGTCTTAAACTTAATTTCTGTTCATCGCAATTCCGTAGTCTGTTGATCAAATATTCCCGACGTCAGTCTTAATATCTCATTGATTTTCCACCCCATGTGTTACCTTGGTCGATTCTGTATGTACAACACTCTTTGCTTCGTAATCTGCGCCCCTGGTTCACCTTTCATCTTTTAGGCCTATGGCATATTTTCATATTGAGCTATGGTTGGGTCGTTAAATCCTAGTCACTAGAATTAAGGCCTTATTACATCACACGAATTTCGTTTACTCACCCCCCCAACAAATCAGGGCATCACTGACGTCATAAATCCCATTGGCTGTTGTCTCCTTGCCATTTTCCTCAAGTATTATAGCTAGTCTTTCCTCGTGTCTTCTTATGTCAGCCTGTCTGCATGTAGGCCTAAGTGCTGGTCTCTTTTCGTGTCTATGTGGTGCCTTATTCATGTATGCTCAGCCATATATATCTCTGTATGTTCTCATTCTGTCTGAGCTTCATAGACAGTGAAACTGCCGCTGTCGTTGAAATTGTTTTGAGTTTTACACATGTCAGTTTTCCTTTAAATGTGCACTATCCTGTTATGTCTTTTGAGAACGTACCTTATGAGCGCACAAAAGCAATAACACTCATTGTTTAGGGGTACTATTTGGGAACAACTGAGATTCTTTTACGAGATGGTAACTCGCTGCAGCACACACGTTTTTGAACTCGCTGGAGCACACACGTTTTTGAACTCTAGACGCGCATTCCGGCAGCTTATTTGTCGCCGAAACATTGAGTGCGCGCGTACGACCAGGGTACAATCGAGCACGTTATCTCTCAGTAGTGGTGTCTAATTGTGATAATTGAAGTAGTCAATATGATCACCACACTAGTGCCTTCACCATTGGTTAGATTTTCCCGTACCTTTCTTGACGACTTGTTAGCATAGCAAACACATTCAATCTAGCACCCACGGTAACCACGCGCATGAATCATGTTTTTTTCACTCGGATTGATTCACCGTCAACCAATCACATTCCGTCCCTTGACGGAATTCCTGTCTGCAGTATCTGCGTCTTCTATTACAGTATGAAACAGCTGCTCAGTCCTGAATCTTGCTGTCATATAGCACAGGAAACCCTGGCAGCTGTCTTCAGAGAGCTAAGAAGTCCCCTTCCTACGCTTATTTTTCTAATTAAACGCTAACTTCCACAAGCTAATCTGTCAGATTTGACAAAATGACGTCACTAAGTAATTATTTTGCGTTGGCCAAAGTACGCATGCTGTCCCAGCGATACCTCAGGGAAAAATGTACTCCACTTTTTTTACTTCAAGGCGAAAAACTCTGCCAGCCAAAGTTCGTCTGGTAGTTGGAACGACTTATTCATCGTAAATGTATGTTTACTGATGTTTATTTTTTCACCGGTACCTTTTTATGATTAGGAAATATGGAACATTTCAAGACTACTGGAAAACATCCTGTATATGTAGCGGGTGCCATTTACCCTCCCCCCCGCAAGTTTGGAGACGGGTGTGTGTTAATTATCGGTAATGCATCGATTGCCTTTGCACAAAAACTTCCCTATTAAAGGAGGACTCTGTGACCTTGTCGGATATGCGTGTAGGATTCTTTAGAGTAGGAATAGAAACTCCTCTTTTCATTCTGAGCATCGGTAGAGGACTTGATGTCTTTAAAATGACGGCGACTCCCCGGCCTTTGTATCAGGGCATGGAGAGAGAATCCTCAACACGTACACTTAAATGACGTCACAGTGAGCGAATTATGTCTTTCACAATGTCTTCTCAGGTCGCAGTCTCAAAGCAGAGGTTGCATCATGCGCATACTATCGAGTGTCAGACATAAAAAAGGTCTTTCCTTAAAGCTCTCCTACGGTAGATTGCATCTAAAGACGTAAGGAAAAATCGACCTAGAACATCTTGTAGGAAGGATGGTTTCCGTCGTTGGGCTGTTTATAGAAAAGCTGAATGGTTGCTGTATGATAACACTGAAGTGTTAGTATTTAGCTGGCAAAACTTTTGTTAGTCTAAGAATGAATAACATGTTTAATCCCGTTGCTGTCTTGCTCATTTTCTTTTCTGTCCTTGACAGAATAATATTAATATTAAGCAGTGCATGGGTCATACACCTCATGTAAACGCATGTATGTGCAATTCTTGTATAAAATTCTGTCCTGAAAATAAGTAAAAATTCAGCTGAGATATTTCTCTTTCTTTTTTCATAGCTAACAGTTTTAATGATAAATTTATAGAATTTGTTGTGTTTATGTTGTAGTTCCATTTCGAATAACTTGCAAAATGTACTGAAAAAGTAAACCTTTTTTCATTTACTTGCCTTCACACATACAATATAAAACCTGTTTGTCCTTGCCAGAGGCCATGTGTGTGAGAATGCTTTGCAGATTATCATAAATAAAAAAGACGGATCTTAATCTTCAGAGTTTTCATCTGACGAGGTCACTTTTCATTTGTGATATTATATCCTAGAAACAAACAGAACGTCCTGAGTTTCTAAGCAGCTGTTTATTTTTGGCCTCACCTTTTCGATCTTGCTATCAATTTATACCTGTCACCTCAAATGATTCTAGGTCATGCTATGCATGTAAGGTTAAAGAGATGGTATTTTCGAAATCGATATACCTAACTTTGTTATTTTAACGGTTGGTGTTTGTGGGTTGCTGAGATTTATTTCATAAATCAGAAACAAAATAGGCAATGTGCTGTTAGAGATAGGAGGCGATAACGTCGCAACTAAATTCAGATATCGGTATTTTAAAATCGGAATTCCTTTTGATACCTAAGGCCAGTTCCAGAACAAAATATTCGGTATGACAGACTTTTTGTGTGGGGGGGGGGGGCTAAATTTGAAACTTTCCCATGTAAGAAGGCTATAAGGTGGGAAGGAAACGAAAAAGGCCAAAATACATTATAATTTCTTTATTTATTTTTCAAGTAATTTTTTGCCCTTTTTTTGGGGGGGGACCATGGCCCCACTGGCCCCCAGGGATCTCTCTTTGTTGTTACCTATTGGTAGACCGTGCCTGTGAAGTAAACAGCTCTTCAGCGTCACTTCTGTATTCAGAACTTTAAGGATCTATTTCCTAAATGTCTTGCGGTTCTTGCCAATTTAATGCAATATTTTTTTCCCTGAGCGGTTTCGTTTTGCGTTGAATCTATTGACGCGGAAGATGCGATAATATCGTTAGTGTCGTAATCACAGTTTAATCAACGCTCCGGTGTCGAACTAGTTCAACCCCTGGGGAATTTCTGTTTTCGTTTGGAGGATCCGTTTACCAATGATGCCAGTGGTTGCTATGGTAACCCTCAAACACCAAGTTTATTACCTTCAGTTGTGAAACGTCGCGTTTGGTTTTCCACCTTTGGGACTTTTTATGTTGTTTCACAATGGGAAGGAAGTAAAAAAAAAGCAAAAAACAACCCCCACCACAAAAAAAACCGCAACGGCGTGCAGGGTTAGTGTAAAGAAGGATCCTAAGTAGATATATTTGTTTTAAAATGACGTTTGGTAAATTTTGCTGAAATATCTAGCGTATACCCATTGTAGGAACATAACAGTGTCATAAATACAGCTAAACTCACCAGGACGCGTCCCGATTTTTTCTTAATATCCCAACTTCAGCTGAACCTTAGTTGTTTATTTCCCAACCTGAACCGATTTGAAAGTTATTTCGGATGCCATTTGGCCTGCTTACTGTATCTGCCAGGGTGGTCTGTTTGGAGCCGGTAGACTCCTTGCCTCTCGAAACGCGGTGTATCGTTTTCATGTTGACAGTCTTATGTAGTGTCGTGTATCCGACGGTAGTCTAATTACAGACATTGTGACCTGTATCGCCCAGCAGGAAAATGACACAAAATAGGCGGAAACTGATGGCTTATTAAACTGATGTAAGTCTTGCATGGTTGGGTATCAAGAGAAGCCCAGAAGTTGAGCATCGGAGATGCCTATCTGTTAAGTAATATTTTCTAAGTTACTTTGCCTAAAAATCATTCAAGACAAATCATTGCAACTCTAACTGTTGAAAAAATCAAAATGGTCTGGATTAAATAAAGAATTAAAAAACAACGTAACGTAATCCTAAAAAAAATGGAAAGGTACAATTGTATATTTTGGATCATTTTATTAAATTGCCCAATTGATGTCAGTGGTAGTTTGAATGGAAGAATGCAGAACACTTCAATCCTTTGCTGAATTGACTGGAAGGCTTTGTCACTGGCTTTGCTGTCAGTGCACCTAAACTGGAGGTTTTGTATTAATATTATTACTTTCATGTTTTCATCTGGTGATTGGCTGATATGTTTTCTTGACAATTTGATAGTGTTCCCTCATTTAGATTCAGTGTTCGTTCAATTCCACCAAAATCTTGACTTGTTTAGTTCCTTTAGGCTATCATTGGACTAGGACTTCAAGATGTTTGGAATATCGACATCTGGGAAAACTTGGTGAGTTGGGGACTAGACCAGAAGCCTCTTTGCAGAGACCTGGTCACGTTTATGCCGGTAATGAGTCCAAGACGGTACCTTGATTCCCGGCAAATAAGCTCGCCCTCCCGCCTGCTTCGATCCACTTCTCTGACACAGGAGATTAGATTGTTTTCCAAGGGAATGGAAGGATATTACAATCTGCTCGCTCAGTTGGTAAAACTCCCATCTTAATGAAACCAATTGGGACCCTCTTGACGTGGAAACGTCTGATAGGTCAGAGGTCGGCCATCCAGAGGAACAGGGACAGTGTACCCAAGGTTTAAAATTGGATTATATTTGTCCGAATGTTTCTGGACTAACAATGCAGCAGGGATCTCTTTGCTTTGCTGTAGAGCAACGCAGTAATTGCAGTGGACAATTTCTATCAGTGTTGCCATTAATTATGCACAAGGAAACATGAATCTAATGCCTTGGTTATTTACTGTGTTTGTGAACAAGCAAACAAGTGTGTTTTTTTTTTAAATTTCCCCTTCGTAATGCTTGCGCAGTGTTGATAGCCTAAACAATTTACCAAATAGCATTTGCAGAAATGTCACCATAGGCCTATAGTTGAACCTTGAGCTAGGTTCTTTTGCTAAGTAATTAAAATTTGTGAGGGTTTTTTGTTTGTTGGTTGGTTGGGGTGTTGGGTTGGTTGTTTGTTTGTTTTTTGTTTTGTTTTTGTTATTTGTTTGGGGTTTTTTTTTGCATCCTCTCTCCCATAAATATACCGACTTGGGAATGAGCTGACCTGGGCATGAGTCGGCCTTTGGAGTAGTTTATATCATCTTATCTTTCGATTTGTGCTTGATTTTATACCTCATGAGACGATTTTATTAAGACGATAACCAGGCAAGCTCTATATATCATGGACGTGGAAATTGACCGCGTGGTTTGCGTTTCTTTTTGCAGTATTTGTTGACAGAAGATAGCCTTTAATTACCACTGTGCTTACATTTTGAGATGTAT